CCAGGAGTTTGAGGTTGCTGTGAGCTAGGCTGACGCCGTGGCACTCTAGCCCAGGCAACAGAGCGAGACTCTGTCTCAAAAAAAAAAAAACCCACAAGATTTTTGTAGGTACTGAATAACTAGATGAATAATATAAATATGTGTCAGTTTTATATAGCTGAAGAAATTGATAAAATAAAGTAGGAATGGAGAAGATAGAAAAAAATGTGGTTTTGAAACTTCAAAGCATATATTTGAAAACAATGAGGTTTTAGGGTGACTATATTTATATTATTATATATCTTTATTGTTTAAATAGGTTTTTCCTGTAAAATGCCTAAAGTCCTTTGTTAAATGAAACAGGTTGCCAATAAGTGAAAATAAATGGTTTTCTTTTATATTCAACAGGAAAGATTGCTTAAAACTAATGAAATACCTTTTAGAACAGCTGAAAAAAAAGTTTGAGAACCGAAAAGAACTGGATAAATTCTGTTCTTACCATGTGAAAACTGCCTTCTTCCATGTTTGTACCCGGGACCCTGATGACAGTCAGTGGTGCTCCAAAGATCTGGAATTCCGCTTTGACGACTGCGTGACATACTTTCTTCAGTGCCTCAGGACAGAACAACTTGTGCATTATTTTATTCCTAGAGTCAATCTATTCTCTCAAGACCAAATTGACAAAACAAGTAAAGAATTTCTGTCAAAGCAAATTGAATATGAAAGAAACAATGGATTTCCAGTTTTTGATGAATTTTGAGATTATGTTTTTAAGAAGAGTCAAGAATAATAGAATGTTTCAAATTTGTCATAACTATGGTTGACTAAAATGAATGCAAATAATTATTCAGTTCTCGGTTTGTTGTAATAAACTCTAATCAGTATTCTGGGAAAGAGAGTAGTCAAGGAATAAGAAGCTAAAGGAATATTTAAAATCTAAAAACATTACCAGATAGGAATGAAAAAAGGAAAAATACATATCGCCTTAATTAAATTTATTGAGTACTTATTGAACAGCAGTTCTTACCTAGCTCAGGTGTATGGAAGGCTGTGAGAAACAATATTAGATCCTCACCTCCATAAAACTGCTAAGCTTTGTTCAACATAACTATATTTGGAAGCTATGCCCTGTCCTATGTTAGGAGAGGAAGGAAGGAAATGAAAAAGTTCTGCGTTGTCTCTGCATGTCTCAGGAATGACATAATCCTATAGGAAAATATAAGGTACTTTAATACATGTGACTAAATATAAAACATAACTTATTTTCTTTTATTTATTTTTGTTTTCAGTAAACCTTTTTATGTGTTTCTGAAAAGGTGATACATACACATGGTGCCAAACTCAGAGAAATGGCTTTGGAGTAAAACATCACCCTCTCTCCTCTGTGCTCAGGCAGCATCCAACCTAGAAGCAACTGTTGTTTGTTAAATTTTTCCTGTTCATATATTCTACACATTTGCTTGTTGGTTAGTTTAATCCTTTCCTTATTGTTTTGTGCAAGTTAATTTTGTATTTTCGATACTTACCAATTTTGTATTTTGGATACTTAGAGGAAATGTTGGTGTTGTATTGTTTAATTTTGGCAAAGAAAAGTTTGACGTCAAAAAAGGTGATCGGATTGTGCAGCTCATTTCTGAGTGGATTTTTTTATCCAGAAATAGAAGAAGTTCAAGTTTTGGATGACACTGAAAAGGGGTTCAGGAGGTTTTGGTTCCACTGGAAAGAATTAAAATTTATACCAAGAATAGAAAATGAAAAGTACCTTTTTCTTAAAACAAAAGAGTTTTTGCTTAAAGTATTTTGGTGTTTTGCATTTCTATAAAGTTAGTAGCTTAATCTTCTATAAAAATATTTTGTTTTTTTATGATCTGTTGGGATCACATAGAAACTTACTTTCATATGTTTTTCTGTAATTGATGATTGTATGTAAATCTGCTTTGTGGTGACCTAAATGCAAAGCGTCTTTTTTTAATTAAATGTACATCTCAATTACAGGTACAAAAAAGCTCTATTCAATATATGATAACCCTTCAACTTACTTTGCTTTAATTTGCTTTAAGTCATAAGCAATACCTTTTACTCAATGAACTTCTTTCACAAATACAAATTATTGCATATGTTGAACTAAAAGAAACGAAAAGGAGAGGTTAAAGTTATTCCTTCTTCCTTTCTCTTCACTAGTCTAAAATTTTTTTTTAAATCTTAAGATTCTTTGTGATGGTCAGAAG